GTTTAATCACGATCTGAGCCATGTCTCTGGGAATAGGAGGGCTAGGGGTGGGTAAGCCACTCACTCTATGACTCGCACACAACAATTTCTACCACATGGTGCGTGCTAGACCCATCACTGATTTAATGATTTAATCTAGCAGTTGACCTCCCTTCCGTTGGCGAACTCAATTCCACTTTTTATCCAGTCTCCAGGGCTTCTGGAACCGAGTTATGGATTCTCGTGGATAACTCCGAACACTTTGGAAATGCCCCGCCCACCAATAACAGTTGGGCTCCACTCTTCACCCACATCTATCCACCTTTTTCCCGACTCTCTAAGGCTGATGTCAGAGTCCGCGATCCGTCGCAGGTTTCGCTGATTTTCGCGATTTGCACGATTCACGCGATGTTCGCGATTTGTGCGATTGGCCGATGTCAGACTTTGCGATTGGAGCGATTGTGCACCAATTGCAGGAGCGACGGGAGATTTACACCGCCGACCACCGATAATTCGGCGCCATCAGCTCGTAAATCTCCGTCGCTCCTGCAATTGGTGCAAAATCGCTCCAATCGCAAAGTCTGACATCGGCTCATTCACGCGACGGATCGCAAAAATTGCAAGTGTGTGAACATTTGAAACACTGAATATGAAACAAGTGGAATCATGAGCAGTCGTCATTCAGCCATCACTATCAAGCAGAAGTGGCGGCAGGATTGGAGAACACCTTGCAGTATTGATCGGGCACTTGTGATTTCCGTGACCCGTCGCGTGAATCGCGCAAATCGCGAAAATCAGCGAAACCTGCGACGGATTGCGGAATCGTCTGAACCGACTAGGACTTCTCCGCCCGAATTATGAGGACTTGTAGAAAATGCTGTACACTTCAGAGCGCGCTCCGCCCATTGTGGGCGGACCTCCGCCCACGTCATGTATGCTGGGAACACCTTAGACATTGCTCCCCTACACCAAATTGTTTTCTGCTCTGTAGGCTTTCTCCCAACCGAGTTATGAAATTTTTCATAAAGCACTGCTTTTTTGGAGAACGCCCCGCCCACCGGGGGTGGGTCTCCCTAATTCGATGTGACTTACCAATGCACACCTTTACCCACTTTTTGGCCCAGTTTCGAGGTTGTTTTGTCACTGAAATCGAAATCTTGGTCTTCGGTACAAGTTCATTTCGACGCACGCCACGCCCTCTGTGGCGTGATGTGTGTTTTGTACTTCGTGAGACCTTGCCCACCCATCCCACACTTGACCCGGTCCCTCCAGGCGGATCCCGAGGAGCTAGGGAATTTCGTGACAGACATACAGAACGACAGACAGAACGACAGACGAAGCGCTTCCTAGTAAGTAGGATAATCGAAATTCCCCCTGAAGTCTCTTCTCAGAAAAATAAAGTGGATTTCAAATCCTTCTTATTTTAATAATCGTTAGCTTGGTGTTTCGGTTTGTATGTATGTATGTAGGCCGTGCCACCAGTTGGGCCAAGTCATCCATCCGTTAGACTGCGCTACAGAACAATCTCTACCCATGGTTTCGTGCTAGGTCCCATCACTTATTAATTCTAAATTGACTGCGGCTTTCGTTGCCGAACCAAGTCCTTTGTTTTCATTTATCCAAGTCTCGCCAGGCTTCCTGGAACTGAGTTATGAAATTTCCGTGAATACTCCGATACATTTAAAAATGCCCGCCCCCACAGTTGACCTCACATTCACCCACTCTATATCATTTTTCCTGACTCTCTAAGGTCTGGTGTTCTAGAGTCCGTGCATCCGTCGCAATGTAGTTTCCGCTGATTTTCGCGATTGTGCGCGATTCACGTGCGAATTGCGTCGATCGACTGGCGTTACTGATCGCAAAATTGATTTAGTAGTTAACATTTGAACACTTAATAAAAACAGTGAATCATGAGCAGTTGTCATTCAGCCATCACTATCAAGCAGAAGTGGTGGCAGGATTGGAGAACACCTTGCAGTAATGATCGGGCACTTGTGATTTCTGTGACCCGTCGCGTGAATCGCGCAAATCGCGAAAATCAGCGAAACTGCGACGATCCGCTACTCTGCACCACCATATACTTTCTCCGACACGAATTAATAGGACCCTTATAAAACGCTTCAAACTCAGAGCTGCGCTCCGGACCTCCGCCCATTCATGCTTGCTTGGGATTACACGCTCGACTTGCTCCCTACATCAATTGTTTTCCTCTGTAGCTTTCTCCAACCGGTAAGAAATTTTCACCATACTTTCGCTAGACGCTTCCGCCCTACTTCACTGTGGTTCTGTCTCCTCTAATTCTATGTGGCTTACCAAATGCACACTTTGCGCCTTTTTGGCTACCAGTATTCGAATTTGTTATTGCCACGATAATTGAAATTTGTCGTGTCGCACAGTTCATTTCTGACGCACCCACCCCTTTGTGGGCGGAGCTCCACCCAGTTGATGTTATTGTTGTAATTCATGCCCTTTGCCACCGCATCCAGCTACTTGAACCTCTGTCTCTGCCAGAACTTGATCCCGAGGAACTAGGAATTTTCGTACAACTTACAGCAATGACAGACAGAAGACAGACGAAGCGCTTCCAACTAAGAAAACAATTTCAGTTAATTGCTTTTTATATATTCTTGAAGTGATCATGAAAATTCCTGAAGTCTTACTCAGAAAGAAAAGTGGATATTTTAATCGCTTCTTATTATAAACGTTAGCTGTGTTTCGTATGTTATTTAACTGTAGTTAGTAGTAGGCTGCAACCAGTTGGCAAGGTCACCTATCCTATTAAGGTCGCTTAACTATACCATTTCCTTTTTGAGAAGCTCAAATACTGCAGTCTAAATCGATGCGCCCTTAAGTCGTTGTGAAAGATATCGACCTTTATATACTTACTTACGAATTTCACTTCTACAATCTGAATCCAGCTGCAATTCAGAGTAGAAGTGCAATTCGTAAGTAATAAGCCATAAAAAGCATGTCCTATGAATTCCTCCATCTTTTCATCTATAGTAGGATGTTCAAACTTTACCGCTCAAAATCAGACTCTATACTCGACTCGAGTTTCAATTCTGTTTGTTCAAGTTACCGTATGAGGCTCTCTTATACGATTGTGTAGGTAAGCTTACCAACGTTTGCGCTCCTTTTCTCCGAAGTCGTGAAGTATGCTCAGGAACGACAAAAACAGTAAACGACATACATGACATAAAGTTTTCCTTTTTTAGTGCTAATAGTTGGGGTGGTGGAGCCTTAAGCGGTCGGCGCGGCAGTCTCTCTTCTGCATGTTTTCGTAAATAACCGTGGGCCAGGGGAGTGTATCCACCTAACTGGGTCTTTGGTGGGAGTCACTTTGACATGTTGTAAAAGCTTGGGATGATTTCGATGTTTACACTGTTTTGTTCAAAGAGGGCCCAGGTGAAACTGCGCGCCGCGGCGGCCACCCCAACTTATTAGCCCTTTTTTTATAGCAATTTTATAGAAAGAACTTCTGTAGTTTTCTAACGATATAGTACTTCTTCGTAGAAACACTTGTGGGAATACTGATGCCCGTGACTGGATACCTTGCCGAGAACTAAGCTATCGCAGAGAAACGAAACTACTAGGTAAGTATTAATACTTGCAATTGTTTGTTTTATTTGTTTTTCACTTAACCAGTGCATGCTAATGTTCATTAAATCGTCCGTTTGGAAAAATTTGTTTGGCAAAGGAGGCTGACAAGTGGAGCGCTCGAACGATGATCAGTGCACATGTAAGTGTTTGTTTATTACTTTTCATAACACGATAAACAAATATAATAAGTTCGTTGTACAAACAATTCATAAATAATGTGAACTGTCTAGGAAGTATGAAAACTTGAAAGGTATTTGAATCTCTGGCCCGGCTTTGGTATATTTGGTATCCATAATAGTAGCATTTCGAAGGCTCATTCACTATCGGTCGTCTCCGAGTCGACTTGATAAGGAGGCTTGAATCCGACTCGATCGGTTGTCGCACCCACGTTAATTTACTTATTGATCGTGACATCCTCGAAAACGTCTGACGATTGATCGATCACTTACCGTAGCTCACGAATATCGTACGACCGTTTGCGATCGGTCGACCGACTAAGAATGTCGCCCGTGATGTGTGCCTATCGATGCTATGATCATTCATTCATGTATTCTCTACGAAACATTTTGTTAATATCAATAAAATTTGTCCAAACAGTATAACATAACTTCACTTCACTAGGCTCAGCTTCTCATATCGCTCATTTTTTCCGAATACGCGCTGCCTTTGACCTAGGCTTTTTATCTGGCCTTTTTAGTCAATACTCAGCGATTTCTGCGTTACAGCTGTGTCTGCATTTTTTTTTTATGAAATGGCCAAACTTGGTGTGACTCTAAGTTTTATGAGGTTATAGCAAGTTAATTTTAAAAGCTATAAAGATGTTCAATGCAAGAAAAATAAATTGGTTTAATTTATATTTAGTACATTCGATCGTGGAGTGTGTATGCAAGTGGCACGCTATCTAGTCCAGCGGTCCCGGGGATGGAGGTCGTGAGTCGCCCGGGCCAACCAAGCCTTCCATCCCTCCGGGGTCGGTTAATTGGTACCAGACTTGTCTGGGAGGATAAAAAACACTGACTTGTGGCCCCAAGTCATTGTATAGGCCACATCGCATTCAAACGCCACTACGAATGTACAAATGGAAGTAGAATGCGTGCCGCATCCCAAAAAGGGATTGATCAACGGCAAATGCTTTATCCTTTATCCTTTCACATGTCGATCAAAAAATTTCATCATTAGGTGGCCTGATTGTTCTCATTCTAGAGTCAAATGCACATAATTAGCGAACTTATCTTTACTCTGCTTCTTTACTTATTCTTCTGTTTGGGCTTTAGCTGGTACTGAACCTGAACCAAGTGAAATTCTTTTTTGTCTAATGATTGTAATAGATTGGTGCGCACAATTAAAATTTGATTTTAGATCTCCTAATAGAAAAAGATCCTGTTGTCAACACCTTCATATCTGTACCGAAGGACAAAGGAATGCTAAACTGTGCTGCATTTGTTGCTGGCATCATCCAGGCCATGCTCGATGTAAGAATCATGGTTTTCGGGCGGCCTCAGTTATTTTCGGTAATTTCATGAATTGTATTCAGGCGAGTAATTTTCCATGTCAAGTATCGGCACATTGGTGGAATAACGGGACTGCATATGTGATACGTTTCGAAGAGCTTGTTATTTCTCGTGAAGCAGCGATTGTGGATGGCCCAAGATAGCGATTGTAGAGCGCCTTAGTTATGTTTTGGTTAATAATGCTATTTGTGATAATTTCGTTGAATGTGCAACTGTTTGTAAAGGAATATAGAATTCACTGAAACTATGCGAGGTCATGTTTTGTTGTTGGAACAACACTTATTTGTACAAAGAATTGCTTTTTGTTCTTTGTTGCTGTGAAGTCTTTTCTTCTAGAAGTATTACCGTTGAACAATGAAGTGGATAAGGGTTCTCGAAAGGAGGGTCGTCTCAACACAAAGGCGGCCGTCTTCGGTACGGTTCCTATTCGTTTATGACTCATTCATAGAGCTCGTGATTTTCTTCAAAAAGTCCGTGTTTTGTTTCTGTTGATGTGGAAATGAGAACAGTTGAGTCATGGAGAATCGGTATCACGAACGTTTTAGGATTTTGCATGATTCTTCTGCAGGGATAACTAAAGATTTTATATTATTAACTTGTACAATCACCTCGAAAACATCACAGAACAGAGGAACGAAAGAGGTTCGCGTTGGTGGGCATCACTGCAGATGTTTGAAAGGTGAAAAAAATGTGTAGGGGAGGGACGTGGTACTTGAGAAATGGAAAAGGAGTGAAAAAGGACTAGTGTGAGGGAAAGGTAAAGACGAAAAGAAAACGTGCTAATTTCTATGATGAAATTGCACGCTTCAGTGTTTGCCCAGTATCGCCACTGAGGGGACATTCCGAGATTATATGGGTGTGGGTTGATGCAGTGTGTAATCCCTTCGCATGCCGTTATTCTTGAATATTCATTGGAATCTTGATTCGAAAGGACATAAAATTGCGGTTACCAGTGAGAAACAGAGCGGGACCTTTTCCGTTCTTCTCTTACACTGTTGACGACTATACCTTACCGAAGTAAATCTTCGTAAGCGCAAGTTTCGTTTAGGTAGCTCTTGCATTTTGTTAACATGTTCTTCTGGTGATCACTTACCGAAAAAATACTTTCATTTTTCGCAATAATCCTCATCCATTAATCACGGGCTGTGCCTTTAAATTCAGTTAGAATTTGTGTCTGACTGCCGAAAGGAGGGTGGCATCTTCTTAGTGAAAAAAAATTCGTAAACTTTTTATTTAAATGGATTCCAACTGAGATATTCAGCATATCATATTATAGTTCAAACCTCAGCAATCTTCACGTACCTAAAATCTCATCGGCCATCTTTTTCGCAAAGGCGATGTGCCCTCAACTTCCAGTGCCGAGCAGATTCCTATCCAGTTGCCAAAACTGAGATCACCATCTTCTGCAGAGAACACTTCAGGTTTGTTCAACAGTGTAATTTCTTGCTATGTCAATTGACTGAAGGGCTTTTAATCGGTTTGGTTTCCGTTCCTTATCGCGGGCTTCTCAACTTGGTTTTTCGCGAGGTGCTGAAATTTCATGTATTCTGCTTGGTTTCCGCGGCATTACAATGGAAGGTCTTTTCAGGGTGTGCCAAGCTTTTCAAAAACGATCTTATTGCCAATGATAGGAGCATATGTGATAAACCACTTAGCGCTATTATTTTCCTGAACGGCCCTCTGAATACCAGAAAAGGGGTCCCTAGTCACACCTTTTTCACCAGTTTTTCAATCAAAGTCTATTTGTAAGGGTTACTGACGTTCCTAATCATGAATTTGGTACTAATTATTCATGCTAACTCCATTTTGCGCGAATTTGGAAACGTCAACACGAAATGCAAAAACTTGTCACCACGAGGAATCGAACTAGGGACCCCTTTTCTGGTATTCAGAGAGCCGTTCAGGAAAAATGAACCATGCTTCTGTGGTCCCCATATGTGCCCCAATGTCATGCAAGAAACCATTTTGAAAAAGCTTGGCACACCCTAAACGACCTCCCTTGTTAGTGAGAAGCTGCGTGGGTTTTATCGAGTCCCTCCGGGAGGACCTATTTGCAGCTACAGGTCTTTACACTCTCCTGCATGTATCTAATTCTTCTCCTGTTGACGATAAATCGGATTCGCATTTGTTTTGTTTTGCAGCTGTTTTGTTTTGCTTTCATTCTGAACATTCATCGATGCCCCGCTTTTATTTGACTGAGTGGTTGTTGGTTGACTAGTCCTCTCGTGACTTTTCTCGAAAAGAACTGAGTATCTGTTCTCTCAACATCCCACTTTATCGGTCCATGTTCGACTCTCAATTGACCTCATCATAGTTTCTTTTACGAAATTATAGAATTATCAACACGAGTTTATAATGGACTACAATCGCTAAAGTTTCGGTCTGTTCTCGCTTCTTTACCGGGCCTTATAAAAAGGTGGGAAACAATTTACATTTATTCCGCTAAATGTTCCCTACCCTTACAAGACATCGTACCAGCTAAGACTTATCACTAATTAAAAGGCAGATTAAAGTACGTGGTGCTCCGCATCGCAGGATTAGCTCACAGAACGCAGTATAAGAGGATTTCGTCCGACAGAAGTTCAGGTTTCGTTGGAACCTTATATAGGGGTTAGATCCGATATTGACACTATCATTCTCCCCTGCGGTTCATTTTCGGATTCTTGAACCAAATCCAAAATGCCTCCAGGGTTTTGCGCGCGGCTGTCTGGGTTTCCATTTTATGTTCTGATTTACTTCCATATTTTGCGCAGGATCGTCGCTGATGAACTACGCAGACATACAGGAGTTACTGATTTGGCAGCCTCATTTCCAGCTACTTTTCCCAAGCCTTCTCAGTGGAAGTGTGATGTAGGTTGGACGAGGTATGATCATGGAGGAGTTGTCGAGCAAGTAGTTCATCACTTCAAACTTCTTTGAATCATATCAAGTGTTGTTAGGTGATCATAAGCCGGTCCTCCTGCGATCATAACGATCGTACACATTGGATACTTATGGATTGTCTGGATCGTCTGATCGTCGACACGCCGATGGTAACGATCGGACGGTCGATACACGATATCTGATGCTGTGTCATCGTTATGATCGGACGACCGACTATGAAAGCGCAACGTGCATCAGCTATCTTCTATGATATGCTATTTAGGTGAAATGGCCATTGAAGACGTGTTCTTTTTGATGTCTGAACTATGTGTTTGGACGTGTCCAGCTTGCCACTCTGGCCTTTGCACCTCTCTGCAAAGCTTGTACATCTAATTAACTTTAATTATACCGCCTTTTATTTTTCTACTTACTGCGGTGTCAAAAGTTTTCTCATCTGCTTCAAGGTATGTGTGCAGCGCGCCCTTGTCATCTACACATGTTCCGTTGCTATCCAGGCTTGAAACATTTGCTTCTCTCTGGAGATTGGTTGTTTCTAATTCTTGCCTCTGGAGCGTGATGCGAAGTCCCTGCACTGTAGAAATTATTTGATATCAGTTTCCGAAAAAGCTCGAGTGCATTGCAAATGTGTTACGATGAGCCGATCAAGAGAACCCAACCCCGAGCACAAATGTCAATTTTTAAAATCTATATTTAAAAGAAATAAATTTATTTTCTTCGAGTGAATCATCGCTCCTGATCATATGCAGACGACAATTGGCGGTAGTTAATAACAATCCATTGCGCCATGCATTCACCTTATTCTAAAATTTATGCTTCACATTTTCAACTTTCAGATTAGTAATTTACTGGGGACCGATATTTGTTTGCGTTTCGTGTTACTTCTTATCACATATTCTAACACAACTCATCGTTCGGAAGAATAATAATACTGATAGAGCTGATCTTCTGTATACTCAACGACACTATTACTGGCACTATTTCTCACTACCGACAGTTAAGTAATAAGTGATGTAATAATTTTACCATAATTACGCTCAATAATATAACTTCTCGCAATGAAAGGTGAAACACGTTGATTGGTTCTCGGATGCGCCATCGCACCCTACTTTCATTACAATTCAGACTGTAATTTGAGTGCAATCAGCTCTTCAGTGAATAGGTGATGGGAAGGGGCCAGCCGTCTCACAAGTTAGCGTTACTCTCCTAGGCGAGTCTGATACCAGCTATTTGGCCCCAGAAGGGATTCGTGGTCTGGTTGATCTGGACGGATTCAAGCCGCATTCGACTCACGAACCTGTCTCTTTCGTAAATCGTACCATTGTATTACTACTAGTGCTCACTCTCGCATAGGCATATGGTCGAGAAATAAATTCGACTCTGTGTTTTTACTGGGTTTGCACTGCTCACTCTGCATACGCATAGGTCGAGAAAAATCGGACCTGTATTATTACTGGGGTGTCCAGAAAGTCTTGCGGCACTCAACAAACACCTTTGGGAAAATCGGAGGTTTTCTCGTTCATTTTTGTTTGTTATTTGTAGTGTATCTTCGGAGCTCATAGTAGAAGCGTCGATCAAGCTTCATGGCAACGTCTAGCATCTCAAAATTCCTCTCTGAATCCGGCCATTTTTTGATCTAAAATACACTGCGAACCCCCATGAGGCTCCTCTGTTTCAGTCGTTGCAGCTATCATATGTGCTGCTTTCGGAGGAGGTAATTCGTTAGGCCACGGTGTCCAGTTGTTTCCCGGGCTTGGCAGCCGGAGGTATTTCGTTCAAAGTAGAGCGCTGTGGTCAGCTGTTTATGATACGACCCGCCCAACGTGGAAATCAGAGGATAGAACAAGGGCTTCGCTCCGCGGGTTTGGTGATATTCTCCTCTAATTTTTTTTGCTGCAGTACCCTTTAGCAGTTCTTAGAATGGGCCAATTTGCAATACCGTCTGCCTCTAAATATTTGGTTGTTAGGTTGAGCTTGTAAGACGCCAAAAAAAATGGTAGAGGTGTTTGTGTTTACCGTGTCAAATAAGTGCTAAGCGTTAATAATAGAAGTGAAGCCCGGCCCAAACGGGAGTAGCGTGTTTCAAGGGAGGCGAGGCTAAAATCGAATCCCATTAGCCCCGAGCCATATCCTGAAGCCGGTGTGGTACACGGGTTGTGGGAGCCAAGCTTGTTGCGATACATGCATTCTTGGTACGTTACAGCGAGCTGCTGAAGGTGGCTGTAAGTCGGAAAGAAAAATACTCCCGGCATTCCACGCTTCTTAAACATGGTTGGGGCTCAAATACAGCTCAGGTTCTCAACAATATCATTGAAAAAAAAATAAAAATGAAGAAAGGATCACTCAAAATGGTGCTCTTAACTCAAGAACCTTGATCTTAATGCTAAGATTTGCTCTGAGCGCTTCGTTGGATTTGTTGAATAAAATCTTGCATCTTGCAATTTATACTCGGCTCCAGCTGGGCGAACGGGTTGACTGAGCCCTAAACAATTGTTTGAAAAAAAAATTGAGCAGGGAGGGTCCAAAGTTGTGGCGCATGGACATCACTAGCGGCACGAATTCATGGCACTCTTTTACGTTTCTTTTTGATTTTATAGCTCATAAGATCGGAAAAAAATCAGAAGGGAACAGATTGTGGTAGCACAAAATAACAAACTAATTTCAGAAGACTGCCCTTCGGTTCATGGATACAATGTCAATGGCGATACCTATGTTTGGTATGGCAGATCATCAAGTCGTTACATATGAAACAGACGACTCCGATTTTACGCTGCGGGTTTGTTATTCGAAATTCCTCACGAAAAACCCCTTGACTAATAAGGAATAGGGAATTTCGCAACTGCTTCTATCACCCATTTTTTTTATCGCAACGCCGCCTATCCTCACTGTTCCATGTTTCCGGCTGATCCATGCAGCTATGGTAGAGTCTATTCGATGCTCGAAAATCAAATTCACTTCTATGAATCTTTATCTGGTTTCATGGTCGGTACCAGTTCGCCAACACCGCTGCCAGCATTTTCCGTGGGCCATGTAGAAACTTGGATGCTAAACTGCCATAGACACTGATATGATCGACTTGGTGTGTTATTTCATCCGCAAATGAAACAGAAAGCGCGAAGACGAACGCTAGTGGAAAATAAAGGAAATAGCACTATGAAAAAACAGTGAAGTTTTCCTTGTGAGGTCATCGTTGTGCAGCGGAGAGACACAAAGATGCATGGAGGGAAAGCGCGAGAGAGCACTTCGTACGCGAGAGAGTGCAGACGCCTCTGGTTTACGACGAATGAGAATAGCAGTAGCCACAGCGGCCAAGCGACGGCTACCTTGTTCCACACATTCAAGTCGTCCTCGGTACCACGATTCCTACGATTTCCGGCTACCTCACTCTTGAGAGAATTTCTCTATTGGTAAGGATCTTATTGCGACCCCTGCCTCCAAGTAAATGTAGAAGAATCATGGCATATCACAGATGGGTGAACGAGAAGTGATACTGCTACATTGCGCATTGTCAGTGGATCAGATATGTTTTCTCAGCTTCATGATACATTGCTTTGCACACTGTAGGTCAATGAAATTTCGAATTATCAGTGGCTGATGACCCGTCAGGATTAGAAGTTGTAGGTGACAATGCCGTGGAAGGAAAAGCCAAACTACAGGGGGGGGGGCAAAAAAAGAGTCACTTCTCTCCACATTCAAAACGCAATTAATCTCGAACTGCGAAACCAAATCAAATGAGCCCAATTGCATATTAAAGAGCACATTCAAGTCTATCAAAAGGTTACATGACAGCCTTCTACACAGACGACATCAGAAGATTTTCCCACGGAAACATGGTTCACGGTACGAGCTCAACGACGTCGTCGAGGTACCATAGACCATTACGACGTCCCTGAAACGCCGGTCAAAAGCGGTCTTGCACAGTCACAGCTAGTGTCTCTGGGAAGCTATTCACCGCTTAACCGATTGAAGATTCGGTTCAGCTTCAGGCGCGGAGCGATAGGATGGTAACAGCCGCGTGTTGCAGCGGTATCGACGGGCGACGGCAGATGACGGTTCATTCTTTGGAAGACATTGAGGGCATTGAAGTAGGGGCTGCTTCTGCTTATGGGGGGACACCTAAGGAATATTCTGCCGTAAAACATTCATTAGCTGCGGCATTCTGTGCGAAGAAAAATTTGATGATGTGCGCCATAGGCAAAGTGACTCTTTTTTTTGTTGCCCCCCCCCCCTGTATATCGCTTTCGATGGGATGCAGTGTTCACGGCCACAGCCGTCCTTTATTCCAATGAAACCAAACATTTAGCACTAATTCAAATATTGCTGACTCACTACTTCAACAATGTTCTATCGCAGAGGCCCTCACCTCCCTCTATGGGAATATTAGGTAATTGTAAACTCTCTACAGGATGCTTTGGAGAATGACGTTGATGAAAATTCCATGTTCCCCACTGTCGAAGTGACTAGTGGCACTCTCTTGTACCTTCTGTGTTCCTTGGGGAGCAGGGTGAATAACGGTCGAGGAATTCCTCGACCATGGCTCTGTACTGTGCGAGAGTAGTGCCGAGAGTGAACGTACGCGCGGAGAGCACAGACGGCTCGCGCATGGCGAGTGTGAATGTCCGCGCGGGAGAACGTAACTGATCAGGCGAAAATCCTCGACGTGCCGTTGAGGAATCCTCGAGCGATATTCACCCTGTTGGGTAATCATCCAAGACACAGAGCGCTTCTTTTCAAAACGGTTTATATTTTTATGTGGTAGCATACGCGTGATACAGAGTCATGGTTTATTCCATTTAACTGCTAGAATGTCAAAATAGTGGTGAAGAATTGGTCCAAAGTTCGAGTCTCCGTAATAGTAAAGTTTGGAATTTGAATTGTCCCCCTTCCCTAGATTGCTTCCAGATGAGGCCATACCCGAGAGCATTTGTCATATTCATTGATTGTTGGCAATCTGAACATTAGGCCGTGATCTCAAATCAAATAATAAAATTTGTCATTACACATATGATCACACTTCGGACCATTTCTTTGCCACATTTTGACATCCTATGAAGTGGTCAAGAAAAAGGGTGGTGGCTTTATGTTCCTCGAATGAGCCTTCAAAATGCAAAAACCATTGTGAAAAAGCTTTTCATGTCCTGCTCCGCCTCCCCCCTCCCTTCCCCCGACGTTGTTGGAGTTCTGACAACGAGAACTCGTCGTGAATAAAATGGTGCTGCTATTATTTGCCGTCCTCCATCTACTGCAATGTTGGACACTGCTTCTACTCGAAAGCAAATGACGATCATGAGACTCTCGCTACAGCGGAGAACCATAAAAGGGCCGAAGATGGACTTACTCGGCTTTGCGATAAAAGAGATGCTCATAGCGGCCTGAGTTCATATGCTGTCACAATTGGGTTGCTTCTGAAAACATTTGAAGAGGGTTTAGGAGAAGCTTGCTGAGCGATGGCGAGATACCTGGGATGATCGTGTTTGCCGTAATTCTTTGCTAGCCGTCCATCAGCATCTCTACCGCGATAAGCTTCTGGGAGACAAAGAATCAAAGCAATTCCAGGAGTTTTTCGTGAAGGAGGATATTCATCTGATCCAGCAGAATTTCCAGGTACGCGTTTCTCTAATAAGTAGTAAAGTAGTAAATGTATGTAAGTAGTAAATAAGAACGGTTTATTCTGCTAAATATTTTTAACCTCATAGAAAGCGATCACGGTCTCTGAGGAAGAGGTGCGGTTCTTGTCGACGTGGTCTGGGCCTCCCAGCACTCTAGAGCAAATAGATGGGACCGCCTCTCACCTTCCAACAAAAGACGGTTCAGTGGTCATTAGAAACCGCACCGCCTTACAGACGCGTGAGCGCGCCTCAACAGAAAAATTGAATTATTGTCAAAAATGTTATAATTTTCACCTAGTTTGCTATTTTGAATGTTTTATTAAAGTGGCGCAAGTTAGATAACATCAGTCAGTTTAGGTTTTGGTCAACTACTGCGCCGATGACAACCTGGCGTGTTGTCAGATCTTCAAAAGCTATGGTTAGAATACCAAAATAGGTTTGTGTTCAATTCTTTTTGACAATGACGTCCATGGTTTCCTGTAAACCGGGGGTAGGATTGTCACCTCTTTTTATTTTATTTGCGAAACGGGAGTTTTTCAAAAAAAAAGTTCCAATCTACAGATTTCCTCATCCGGCGACCTTGTATGGGATGCTTAACATGGGAAACGCCTACCTTCCTATCAACGAGAATTGGGAACTTTTCTATAAGGTTTGTCTTAATTGTTTCTGCTTCTTGTATTATTTTTTCCTTTTAGTAGGTACTTTGCTTATATATGAGCAGTGATGGATTCGGGGCCATGACAAGGGTCAACCGTGCGTTGCGCAGTTCTCAGCGAGGGGATTATATTTGAGTTTCTCGGGGGGAAGTGGGGTCGTATTAGAGGTTGATGAGGTCGAAAGATTTGAGAAAGGGGTTCTCTTTCTGGAAAGAGAAGGGGTCGTGATTGCGGAAGGGCAGTCGTTTATAGTGGGTTCCCTAATCCTATGGTGGAGATTCGAAAAACTATGCATGAGATGGTCGAAATTAGAGAATTTGTCCTTCATTAGATATATGTTCTCTCCCCCCCCCCACCTTCTTCAATCCTCACGGTCGACAGCCGTGTGGAGGAAAGAGTGGACGGAGTTAGGCTTTGTCGACTGGTCTCAAAATCAAATATTACAGTATAGCCATGGTGGTGTGATGGTGGTCGGGGATGAGAAAGCGAGTCGCATTGGGGGCTCCCATAAGGCTGATGATGGTGGTGAGGGGTTGTATCGAACCTCCCTGGAGGAGGGGGGTCGTTAAATTTCTAGCAATTGGAACGACGACGGTTGAGCCTGCTAGGAACACCTTCGAATAGATATTTGACCAAAAATTTGTATGAGGGTTATTGCTGAATATCAGATAGTTTCTATAGAGAGGGAAAATTTTTGGGGCCTGTCACAAGGAGGAAGGTACACGCGGTGCCATGGTCCGTACGTGCCGCCTACAGTAATCCTAATCTAGGGCAGGAAGTTCTAGGGTGGGTTCAGGAGCGGGAGCGAAATATTCACGCTTTTCGGCAATTTTTCTACCTAAGAAATTAGTGAATGCGACACGAATTATTGCAACCCAATCCCTCCCCCTTATTGAAAAATTCCCACATTTTACTCTCTTGTTCAATTTTCAGACGAATGAAAAATCATGCGAAGAGACAAAAGAAGCTGGCGCCCGAGCTTTGGTAACTGCCGCAAAACGGGTGTTGGATGATTTGAAACCTGACATGGATGGTGAAGCACGTGTGGATGCCTGGCTTTTTGATGTCGACTGGTCGTTCAGGGGTGATCACGAGTTTCCAGAGTACGCTGCAATTTGCGTTGTTGATCCATTTTTGGTAGTCGCTATCAGTTAGCTATTTAAAAGGCAGTCTAATCACTTTTTCAAGGTGGTACTTCAAGTTGTTTTCGAAACGAGGCAATGTTTATCTTGACAAAGAGTCGTTGACTAGTGAAGATGTAACCATGAAGAGTGCCTACGTCCCACTTATATTTGGTAAGAATTTTTCAGGCTTAGTTCAAATCTAGAAGCTTTTATATTACTATGCATGATCAACTGTAAGCTGCGGGAAAACTGCTAATTTTGACTTATTTTTGTTTGGTAACTGCTGTTTTTGGCCGCAGTTCGCCTTGCGAGTGTTTCACGGTAAGCAAGAGGTGCGGGTTCGAGTCCCGTCGAGGGCGATTGTTGACAACCCAGCATTCTTGTGAAACTGCTAATTTTATTGGATTTTATCTGTGAGGCAGTTTTTTAGAAAATTTCTTATACAATAATATGAAGTGAAGTGAATAAGGCAGGGAATTTGTAGAGGAATTTGGAACGCCTTGAAAGCAAAGGATGAATTGTCCCGTTGGAGTGATGTTAATGAATAGTCAAGCCATTCGACTCGACCGTGAATCTATAATCTAATTGAGACGAGTTAGTGAGGTTTTGGGAAAAGCTGGGAATATTTACGGGGATAGTTATCTGTGTGGCATTTTCAGATATTGAAATAAGCCAAACCAAATAGGTAGGCATCGTACAAATGAATATAGAGGTTCGGGTAGGGGATGTAAACTTTAAAGCGAGTAAGCGCAATTCTGCAGAAAAAGACATTTCGCGGAGTTTGCGGGCCATTGACTCTTTTTTGGTAATATTATGGAGAGTTAACCGAGTAGGATGTGCGTTTCAGTAGGAACTTTAGACAGCTAAAACTGTACATCTTGTTGATTTCTTCACTTAGAAGGCCTACTGGATTTTTGAAATCGTTGATTTTTCTTTGGAACTGATTTTCCTTCCCAGTTTTCTCTCGTCAAGAATATCTGGTGGTGGCTCAAAAGTTTGAGATCGAGCTTAGCGAGACCTGAGTGTTCGGGTCCCAACTGATGACTAACCAGCTTGATCGATGTCGTGAAGATGTGGCGACCATCAACTTCCTCCGGAACCTTTCACGGCAAAATTCCAGGCCGACCTGAACCCTGGCTGGCCGCTGTTCCGTCATTTATCCCACAGTCCTGGCCTTGTCCGATTTTCCTTTTCAGCTAGTCACTGTGCTTGCGTCACGGAAATAATTCGAGCGAAGAATGAGGTTAGGGAGACATCCGACGACTCCTTAGAATCTCACTGCCCGCCCTTCTGGTAGGAAGCTATCGAAAAGGTGCCTGATAGATTGACGTTGGATAGTAGGCGGAAATGGTGCGTGCCACTGCTCTGTGGGCAAATCCAGCTATTCATAGAAGGAGTATTCCGGCGGCGATCTTCTCAGAGATCCCAATATTTTTTTATAGTTTTGAGCAGAGTTACTAACAGAATCATCTACGAACACAGTTTGGTGGTAGGCGGGAAGCTGTAACCATTTGCTGCACTGTCTTATTTGCATCACTACATTTTTATGATCTCATTAAAGGGACGTGTTTAGGGATGACTTATGGTCCGTATCCTCTCCATCGTTCACGGTATCTCGGCTGGGGTTATTTGGTGCCGAATGAGAAAGGTAATGACCGTTAACAGCATATCGTCCTTGTTTCCTCAAAATCAGGCTATTTTCAGCAGCGAAGTCACAAGCTGAAGAAGCGTCATTGGGCCCGAAAACTCTTGTGTCAGTTCCTTCATTTTTTGAACAATTTTTAGTATATCTAGTGATACGAGCATTTTGGCTGCAAAGTTTCTTTCATTCCTATGAATTGAGGCCAGTTGTAAGACAGAATTACGTGGACTTTGGAAGCACCCACCCCTTACTGCGTGACCTCGGTAGGAGAAAAAAGCAAAAGCTACTATGGGTGTGGCTGTTAAAGCTGTAACGCGTCCAAAAATAGCAAGTTGGATTAGATTTGTTATTGAGCCGACATTCATAAACCCAATAGAATGTGAGCGTTCATGGCGCAAGCGCTTGGCCACGTTACGCGTTGGACGGATGCACCTCACGGGTTGACTGATGCGTTCGGCCGTACTCACTCGTTCGTGTTAAAGGCAAAAGTCGGGCTCAATAAGGGGGTATTATGGCGATTGAAACTGAGTATAGAGATGCGAAGTGGAACGACAGTGGAGAAAAAACTGAGAAAAACCGTCGACAAGGCCGTTAACAAAACCCTCTTTCCCACTAGCAGTGAAGGAGGCTGGCTTGGGGAAAGAGGCACGTACAAACAAGTTTTCTGGAGATGTCAGTCGTTCTATCGGTTGATACGGCAATCAACCTAGCTGTTTCACACGTTATGCCAGCCAGAGGTGGGCGGTCCTGGATTGACCAGGCGGCCCTGGATTGAAACCGAACGCCCCGGGGCCTTAACGGGGTTTTTCAAGGTGGGAAGTTGCTGCAATGTGTGCAGCTACCCACATACAACCTCCAGGCACGGGAATTACTTCTCTAGCGTGCCTGAGCCCGACCTTTGCCTTTAAGTGAGACCACTTCGGTTAGCCGAGTACAAGTAGTGCTTATTGATCAGAGGCATGTGACGATTAATTGCGGTCAAAGAAGGGAAAATGCGTACTATAAGCGGTTCTCCAAGAAACGGGAAAGGGCTCTTTCTGCCGCTCGTGGCGATCTATTGGTAAGAGTCTTACTCGAGGTGGTGAATTCCCTTTTCTGTCCTCGCCCACAGATTAGCTACCTCAGCTGCTGTCTCTCGTCGTCGGTCTGTAGCTTTTTAGCACAGAGGCAGAGTAGAGCATTTGCGTTGATGTCGTCAGTACCGATGACTCTCCATTTGGGGAAAACAATACATTTTGTGGGCTCTAGATAAATTCCGTTAGCTTTATCTTCACTACGGCACGTTGTATCAACCTTAAACTCTTTCTCCCGTGACATAAGCTCCAAAAGCTGTAAGCATTGCAGTATTTCACAAAAGAAGTGACGGTTGTCTGACATCGGCTCATTTCTTAAACCGGATTTTAGATCTCTTGTATCTTCTTGGCTCCGGGTTTCACACAAAACGCCCTCTAGTGATAAAATTTCGAATGTTGTATTTCAGGGAGTATGAACACATCTGCAAAGTTATATCGAAGAACATTCAAGAATTTGGTGACATGGAACCATTTGGAAAAGCTCATGCATTTGGCTTCTTCCACTTCTATCGGCTTCCACACCCGGTATTACACACTGACTTTTGATTTTCATTTGAGTTCTTAAGGACAGTGATTCTTCTAATTTTAACGATCAATATGTTTCAAGTTGGGAGGGCAGAACGTTGGCGATCCGCTTGGGAAGCACTTTCTCCGTTACATCGACTCGAAAATACTGCGGCCAACAAGACATGTTGACGAGTTCTTCGTTCTACTCGAAGCAATGAAAGTTACGAAATTCTGGACTAACTACGCGTAAGTTGTGATCATTCCCGCTTTTGGTATAAAGTTTCGCATAATTCTCATCAAGCCAGTCACCCTTGATTATTGAAGCGGTTGAAGGCCTCTTCTCAAATCCTTATGTAAATAAGAGTTCAAAAAAAGGTTTGACCTACAGGGACCTTTTACACTTCCATGGAAAACTTCACAAAAACAGCGGGTTGTGTTCCTTGGTCATCCACCCATTTGTGATGGCGCTAGTATAAAGTAGGGTGAACATCGCGTCAAGGAACTAGCGGCGACGGTGCGTCCCCTCGCTCGGAGCGGGTGCATCGCTGAAATCGCCAGCGACTGGTTGCAAAGACTGACACCTGCCAACTACGGGCTCGCTAGAATAGAATTCTAAAAAAGAGTGTTCAGAAAACGAGTTGAATCCGAAATTCCGGTGTGGTACGAGACTAATGAAGGACCGAGACTCGGTGCTATAGCCCCAGCGATCATTCCAGCAGGAACAGTGTCCCGGCGAAGTGTGCACAAGCTGTGGGTTACGCTTACGAATGAGTCTGTGAGTTTTTTTTTACAAATAAATACTAGAGCTTTTTTTCAGTTGATGCATTAACATTACCTGCGATCTAATCCAAGTCTATTTGATGCGATGTCTAATTAGTGAAACAGAGATAAAAGTCTCATACAAGCGCCAAATGGGGAAGTTTTGGTTGGAGCTGATGTCGATTCGCAGGAGCAGTGGCTCGCTGGCCTGTTTGGAGATGCAAGCCATGCAAAAGCACTGCGTAGGTCACCCGAGCTTTCTAGAGTTGACTTTTATTCTAAACAAAGTTGTTTTTCAGCGGAGTGTGCACGTCAACCTGGTCTAACTCCGTTCAGTAATATGATGCTAGCCGGGTCGAAGTCCGATGGCACCGATTTGCATTCTGTGGTGGCCAATCAGTTGAAAATTGACAGAAGTCAGGCGAAGGTTAGTTCCGCTGGATTTTGATCTATTGTTAAGTGAATATTAAGATGAAAAAGAAACAAGAAATGGATTAAAGGGTCATCATTTGGAGTAATCAAACCTCTTTTGTTATCACCGCACCACTTCTTCGACAACAAAGACCCTGATTCGAAGGGTGGGGTAGTAAGCGTCGATCATGGATTGTGATGTCGAACTGCCTGCGTGCAACTGAAAAAAATACTAAAATGCAAAACCGCTGATGAGAACTATTTACGAGTACTTCTTTCTGCTCTTTTCCTGAAATATGAAAGTTTTCGGAAAAAAGTGAAGTACGAGTTTTCTGAAGCCGCTACGCTGTATCCACGCTTCGTATCATGGGGTGTGTACGAGATATCTCGTTCCGTAACCTCTCATCGACCGTCATAAGTTCAATTTGTAGAGCCGTGGCGCCATAATCGCACACTTTCGATCCAGAGAAAAGAGCACATTCTGTGATTACCACGTGCTAGCTCAGTATACCGTAACAGGATAGGATTCTCAGGCAGTACCTCATGCTGAGGTTGTTGCTTCGGATCTTGGATTTATTGAACTAAGTATTAGTCCTTGCGGTGACTAACAGGAATCGGGAGCAATTCGCTTCCTTTACCTATCCCAAACAGATTCCCTTTCGAATAAGGGATTTTTCGAAAAGGCTTGATTTGTCAGCGCGTCGAACCAGAATTGTTTGTCTGATAGCGGCCCTTTTCTTGTACCCGCCACAAACTCGCCAGGAAAAAACCTGAAAAGCACATTCAAATCGATGCTAGAGTGTGAAAGATTTTCAAAAAATGAGATTTTGTTGTTTGCTTGCTTGCTGGTAAAGAAAAAAAATAGGGATACGTTGCGTTCACCATGAATGAGCCCTTCTCGTTTACAGCTGATTTTGAGACAGATTTTGATTAGACAAGTTTACGATAAGATGTGCATCTGAAGAGGGCAAAGGAATGTGGAGCATTTCTTCCTTATTTGAATTTCCTATTCACGGAAGGACGCATAAGACTGCTTTGACTCCCAGTGATGACCCCTCCAACGCTAAAATAGCAACTTTCATTGTTGGAAGGAATGGATGAGTCCGATAAATTCCTCCTTTTCATGTAGCGTTGATAAATCGCAACATATTGGACGGAAATTTTGGAAATAGAAAATTCATGTTTTATAGCTGTGTATAAATTTAAAGCGAGATGATCTTAGGCGTTGAACTATGCACGAATGTACGGTGCTGGAGAGATCAATGCCACAAAAACCCTGTCACAGGCAGGAATGACGATGGATCAAGCCACGAAAACAGCAAAGGAACTTTTTGCGGTGACAAAGGGAACGGAGAGCAGGTGAACTACTAGTTTTCCTCTTTTCAAAGATGAAAAGTTCCATTTGTTTATGGAGTTGTTTTTTCAATCATTGAAGACCAACCAGTTATTTATCAGGGCGCTATCGCAAAATACGGGGCGTATTCAGATAAGCGTATGAGGGGGCAGGAACTTTGGGGAAGATTAAAATTGGTAACGCACTTCGGAGTCTCACCTCCGCCTAAGAGTTGGTCCGATCTAAAAAGGATGTTTATGCGGTTGCAAATGCATTGCTATCACAAGCCCTCTCCCGTGTCTTGTGATAGCGCCGTTATCTGTATTCGAGCGAAATCTGAGGCGGTTATAAAGCACCCTTGGCCCGAACGCAAAAGTTGTGATTATAGATCGTTGAGCGATAACAAGGATCTAGGAGACTAAGGCAATGACACTGGAGTAAGCCACATCCCTTCATCGCTTCTAAAACATGCGCCGTCACCGGATTGGATCCCTAACGGTTCGAATCAGGGTCAACCGTGCGTTCGCACTATTCGAACGAGGGGGTCGCATTTGTGGTTGGTTTGGGAAGGGGGTCGCATTCAGGGAGTGGGATTAGTAAGTTGATTAGTAGTATGTTAGGTGAATGGTTGAATGGTGGGGTGATTTAGATAGATTTAGATAGGGGTTTGGTGGATGAAATTGGCGCGCAGTGTAAGGACCCCCCCCCCGGTTCGACGGCCGTTTTGGAGAAGAAAGTGGGCGGAGTTGGGCTGTGTCGACTGGTCTCATCTCAGAATCAAATACTATAGAAACAGCCATGATGGCGAGGGTGGCGAGGGTGGTGGTCGGGGTAGGAGGAGGGAGGGGAGCCTCCTGAGTCTCATGGTGGTGGTGGGGGTCGCATCGAGACCCCCTAAAGGAGGGGGTCGCGAAATTTTGAAAAAGTGCGAACGTCACGGTTGACCCTGGTTCGAATCATACACCGATCACTACCTCTGCACCATGCAGCGCTATTAGTTACCGTTGAAAGAATCGTTGATATCGGAATGAGGCGGGTGCTCGCTATAGCTCTCAGGATCTTCCCCGTGTGAGTATGTTTGCAGGGCTAGGCCTTTTTCTCTGCTTGCAACGTGTGCCTGACATAATGGCTTTAACCATTACTCACGTTCCTATGAGAGAAGAAGGAGGATAACGAGAAATATGAAGAGGCAGACGACACGTTGGCCCACCAGCAAGAAGTCCTTCGAAGGACTTTTTGCTGAAGGGTCAGCGTGGCATCGCATCTCATCGTGCGTCTCCAAATGTCTCGTTAACCTGCGTCTCCTGTTAACGTTTGTCATGTTAACTTACCTTTTCTCTGCGAACTCCAGGTCAAGCATATGAGCTCCATGCATAACTCCTACTCGAAAGGTTCTTTCTGACTTCCATGTCACTCTAAAATCTGCACGTGTGATAAGTTGAAGTCCAGGGTAACTTTACTACCGTCTCTAAGTTAGCACCCCTAACACTTTAAATATTTTTTCAGCTGGAAAATGCTTCGCAAAGAGGTACAGCCACTTCTGCTGAAATTCGTAGCTGAACGACAGCTGGACAAACCAGGCAATTATCTGACGGTCGATGGTAGATTCTACATACCCAATTATGACAATCACATGAAGTGCGTCTTGTTAAGCTTAAACGAAGGTTGCACGATAAATTGGTTGTTGAGGAAGGGGAGGTCCTAGGAAGAAGGCTGTCTCACTAAGGGAGCGAGAGATGACGTTAACCTGCTCCCGTGGCCACGTCCGAAAGAAACACGTCATCCCTCAAAAGCCTTTGTCGGCCGCACCCCCTAATCCACTTGCTTTAGCCGGGTACCGCCTCTCTACGTCCGTGGGCCCGGCAAAGGAGGCGCAAAGCGTGCATACGTTGATGATTTATGTAACCGATAATTGCCCAACGCGAACGCAATCGTGAAAACGCTACATTTTCAGGTGTCCGGGTATTTCCGTAGTTTGTTTTCCTACAACGACGTCACTCTCCTAATAACCTACTTTCCTCCAAAGGCGACCAAATCTATCGTATCCGTCTGTCTTTGACAAGTTATTCAAGATTCTGTCCAATGGAAAAAAATGTTTAGCTCATTCACAATTGATTTTGAAAATTGGATAATTTCACTGGTCACGAAAGAGAAACCCGATGTTCCTCATGCAAATATTGTGTGTTCTCTTTATGAAGACTATTCTACTGCTGTCCGGCTTTTCAACGGCGGCTAGTGAGTTGACAATTTTCAATTTTCGTATTAAAGTATGAAGGTCAGAATTTTGATTATATTACCTGTATCTATAAGAGTGGCTTTAATATGTAAGAGAGATTTTAGGAAATTCCCTAGCAAAAGTAATTAATTTACAGATAACGGAAGTAATTTTTTCCAGCGAATCTGCCACATTCAACTATTTGGAAATGCAAACACATCGTGAGGTGCTTCGAACACCAGTGCTGGACTGTCGACTTTCCGACTCGCTTTCAGCGCTTCCAAAAGAAACACCTGACAGATGGAGTTTCACGGCGAAGTATAAACGATCGGTGATGAATTGGGTGAGATTAGAAACAGTTATCAATTCAATAATTGATTCCTGTATAGATTTCGCAAAGTGAGGGATCGCTTCAGAGGAAGCTTTGTATCGAAAGAGTTGCATCTGTGCAGTCCCAACAAGCTTGTACGATCCCTTCAGTGAAGGCTATACGGCGACACTAGTCAGAGTCCCAGCGTGACTCATCTCCACGCCCTAACTAGGACCTAGTACCTTCTTTCAAAAAACACTGCCAGTTCAGTGCAATACTGTCCCTCCCCCTAGATAGCCAAATGCGATCTTATCAAGGAATTCTCGACGTTGGCTCACACCAAGGTGGGGGCAAGGCTCAGTAGGCCTTAGCCCCGTATTTACTCTGGATAAATTCTTCCATGCACTTTCAATGTAACGTCTACCTTCAAGTGTAGACTGAATATGGACTCGCTTGATCAGTGCTACCCTCTTTGGTACACTTTTTGTTTT